AAATAAGCCAATTTCCCCTAGATTTGCCTCCACATTAGTTCAGTAAGGTCAAAATCAGTTCAACATTACGTTGGCAAGTCCTCTTTCGGGAAAAGTTAAAAAAAAAAAAAATTTATACGGTCAAATTTAATCACCTTAAATTTCGTTTTTTTAAACTTTTCCCGAAATTTGAGGACTTGCCAACGTAATGTTGAACTGATTTTGACCTTACTGAACTAATGTGGAGGCAAATCTAGGGGAAATTGGCTTATTTCGCGGGAAAATTGGATGACCTTTTAATTGGCGTATTTGGGGGTCCGAAACCCCCCTTAAAATTAGTTCGAAGTAATTTCTGTTATTTTTACTTAAAAGTACTTACAATTTGGTAAATTTTCCCGTTTCATTTTTTTCATTACGATAATTTGAACCGGAGTTATGATTTTTTGAAAATAGGTCAAATTTGACCTTTGACCTATCATAACTCGGTCAAAAATTAAGATATTGATCTGCGGTTTGCGCCAAAATTCTTAGTTTTTTATGCTCTTTCGAATGAGGTATCACAAGATAGGGGTTGCCATTTGAAAAAAAAAAGTTGGGGTCCGCAGCCCCTCCCCACGGGGGGGTCCGAAAATTTTGGGGGGCTCCAAAAGTAGCTAACATTGATCGATGAACATCCCCAAAGTTTCGTTTCAAAATATTAATTAGGTAAAATTTTAGAGGGGGTGGAAGGGACTTTTGGGACACCCTGTATTATTAATCTCCTTTGATAAATTGATACATACTTTTTCCACATCAATTTAAATGAGAATAATCAATGCTGAGTGTGCAAACATTTCAAAATCATGAGTTAAAAAACGCTGACTATGCGAGTATAAATATTAAAGCCTAACAGAGCGGAGCGGCGCGGCGTTCTGCCAGCGCGAGAGGCTCACTGGCGCCTACAAACCTAAGTGGATACTTCACGCATTGCACAAAAACGCGCATTGGCGCCTACAAACCTAAGTGGATACTTCACGCATTGCACAATGCTTGAAGTATCCACTTAGGTTTGTAGGCGCCAATGCGCGTTCCGCGCTGGCCGCCCGCCCGCCGTGCGGCGGCGCTTGAAGCAACTATTTCACAACAGAGGTATTGCACAGTATTTTACGAAATTGAACGTATTAAGAATGACAGGCATCCTTTAAAAGTACAGATCTTTCCTCGCAATATAAATCAAGATACTTATCGTGCGCAGGAAAAATCTAAGAGCCTTTAGCTGAGGCAAATATAGAGGTTTATCCGGTTCAGGTATAAGAAGGTGGGAATTTCTTGATAGATATTAAGTCCTGTTGCACCAAAGAGGTGTAGAGAGTTTTAGTGAATTTTGTCACATGGAAGTGACGCTCCCCCATTTTTAGCAAAAATCTCAACTATATATTACTCTCCGTTGGACCAAGCAAACAAAACAAAAAAACAAGCAAACCCTCATTCTACCAGGAAATTATACATTTCCATCCAAAAACGTCGTGAGCAATGGTCGTTTGTATTTACATGTGGGTCAATTAACTTTGGGTCTCAACTGGCACGTGGACCAAAACTCCCATGCCGAAAAAACGCGTGGACGTAAATTACTGGAAAAAACAGGTGCGCGGACAAAAATCGTTGACGAAATGTCCTATACCCATCTGGACTAATGCATCAGAATGGATAAATTCGCACCTTGTCCACTGGTCGATTGTAACATAAAATTTTCTATTTATATTTCAGAACGAAATCATCTTTAATACGGGAAGATATGTACAAGGTCTGAAGGGGAATTGATCTGGGTCAAATCTGGATACATATAAAATGGAATAGATCGTATTTGATACATCAAACGGGGGAGATTGTATTGATATCGATTGGTCCAAAACATAAACGGAAGCCTCAAAAGTCAATTGAGTAATCTGACAGAACGGGTCTTTTGTGAAGGATTTTTGACTCGCACGAGTACTAATTGGCCAAGTTTAGTGAAATTGCCCCGAAATGTCTCATTACAAGGCGGATAAAGAATGGTGGTCGCATTTCGATTTTGGCTGCCATCTTGAAGCGTTGTGACGTCAGGAGGGTACGGGTTATGCCGTGCAATCCGAGGTTGAGTCGGCCCCCCCGGCCTCGGCCAGCCCATGTACCCGATGTACCCGATACCGTGTGACGTCCAGAGGGTACGAAATGCGACCACCATTCTTTATCCGCCTTGGTCTCATTATCAGCAATCCCGACAAATTTCTTAAAATTATGATTCGAGATTGTGTTCTTTTGTTTAGAAACAAACGATACATAAATCCATTCTCGAATCCGATCCATACGACACGCGAGACGCGCAGATAATTCCAACATGCAGGGAAAATAGAGAATATGATTAACACCCGCGTTACGCCGATGCCCCGGCTATTCTCCGAGTCATCATGTCATTGTGAGGAACAGGTGAGGAACACAAAGATTCCTTCTAAAGACGAGACTATGCTAGGTATTTGGGACTGGGCGGTATTATCAGAGAAGTGTAGGAGATGATATGGTCTACATGAGGAAAAGTAATGACTTCCGTGTCGGCTGGACCCCAATCAGATTCCTTTCATTTCCTTTATGCGAGTAGCTTTTAATCTCATTTGCATCACTTGTAGAAAAATAAATTTGTAATTACAACATCTCTTTCCCATTAGTCTATTTACATTGTTCACGTAGTAATTTCTCAATTTATAGGTAAGAAAAAGTATTACACTTAGTTTCAATAAAAATAAAAAAACTGACGCTCAGAAAACTTACAAGAACTGAGTCGTCGTGCACACGCTATTTATTAGTCGTTCATATGCTTGCGGTATAGCGCACTCTAGTAGCGGGCAACCAAACTACGCTCCAACAGCAACTAGCTTTGCCACCGTGCTGACAGAGCGCGCTAGTAACGCAGCACACAACCACGCATACAGCGATAGAAATCGGACTTCAGGGATTTTTTTAATTTCTCAACCATTAATTTTTATTGAAGATTCTATTCACAACCACATTCTAGGCGACATAGACTAAATTATGCGAGTGAATGCGTAATCTGACTTGACTCAAAGTGACGTGAAAAAAGTCACGTTACTTAAAGTCACTCCGTAAGGAGTATAGATTCCACTCCGCAGTCCGCATTCATATCACTCCTGGTTTTTGGGTGTTAAAAGGATTTCACAAAAAAAAAAAAAAAAAAAAAAAAAAAAAAAAAAAAAAAAAAAAAGTGTATCCGACGTTTAGGACTTAACTCTAGGTACACTAAAAAGGAAGCATTGAAACAAAATAAGCCTCCTTAGGAGGTTTTGAAAAATTTGTGTGTGTAATTTATTAAGGACATCCATAATATGAGGTAGGAATTAAATGATGCACATGAACATTAAATTACAAAAAAAGAAGAAGAAAAAATAAACTAACTTTTGCCGTAAAAGAAGAAATATCGATGAAAATCTAACTTGTCTTCACGTTGGATACCACTATTTTAGCTCACAGGAGGGGATTTTGCCTACACTGCCAGGTGAAAGCGAACTCCACAAAGAGCAATCTTAGCATCTTTCCAGCTTTCACCTACATCGCATCGTTTTCCTAGATACATTTACTGCCCTGGACGGGCGGGAGGGGGGGATGTCCCAGAAAATTCTGAAATTTAAATACCTCGAAAGTAATTCTGAGCTGTTATTTTTGATCATTCTTGGAAAATCGACTTCTAAACAACACAGGAAGGTTACTTATAGTTAAGTACTTCAGGTTTTAAAGTTATGTTGCCAAAATATAATCCTCTGAAGTTATAGTTAAATCTTCCTAACTGGATGTTATCAAGTAGAACTGATTCACGAAGGGCCTTAATTGGGTGTTCAAATTGTGGGGGAGGGTGGGGGGACGGCTCCCCCTACTTCGCTATAGTTCCGCCCCATGGTGACGTCATAGCTGTTTTTATCTCAAAACCAACGGTTGAACTGATGACCCCATTGAGAATCCTGATTACAATATACTCGCTAAATGATGGTGCATTACGTGCCGGTACAATATTCTCGCCTACTTGCGTCGTTCCTCTGAAGAAAGAAGACTTTTGCTTTAATTTGGTTAGCGAACCCGCGATACCCGACGGTTCGGCAATTTTTTCAGGGCCCCGGAAATGAAAGGTGTTATGGATGACGGGCGTCCTGAGTTTTATCGGACAGGTTAAAAATTTCGCCTCTCGTCGAGGTTTGGAAAATAAATGAGAATGATGGTCGCCTAAGAAAAGAAGGACAAAGACGTTTTCCCGGTGCTGTTTTTATTAGGTTTTTTTGTTTGTTTTTTTTTTTACCGTCTGAGAAAGCTTTTACATTTTTTGCCTCGCTAGGGAAAAACGCCGTATGAGCCTTCAGGCGTTGCAAAATTTCCTTTGATAAAACACGACTTTCCTGGTAAATTTAGGTTTGAGTGGTTTTCTCCCAATTCTTCACATTATTTTGTTCGTAATTTATCCTGAGGTTTTGAAAAACATCAAGGAAAATATTCATATTTTTCCTAAAGAATAAGAATTTTATGGGAGACACTGTGGCAACCCTCGAATGTTTTCACGGTGCGGCGTATATTGTGAAACGAGCTATTAGAAGAGATTGGACACGAAATATTTGGCTAAAAGTTCAAAATTTTATGTTTATTTCGTCACAAATTCAATTCCAATGGGTATCTCTGAAAGGCAATTCCACGAAAATACCATTAGAGCCATTTTCAAACTTTTTTGTTGAATATTATTTAAAATATAAGCTTTCAAGATTTCCAGATTTTGTCCGACTTCTACTACTGACTGACTCGTTCGGTATGCTGCGTTTCTCTTTATTAGCGCGGCAGTTTTTAGAACTGTTTATATTTTCATAACTAAAAATCAATATTTAGAAGAAATATGGTGGAAAATATGGTGTGCTTGCCTTGTCAATTATCGAATTTAGCCCTATAACTACTTAGGGTTAAAGTTAGTTTTAGAACATTAAGGCGAGAGTCATTACTAAGGCATTTCGTCCTACCTGGAAAATTTGCGAATTCGATAATCTTCTTGATAGCTTTGCAGAATCTGTAATCAAAAGAAATAAAATGTTCATTTTTTTTGCGAAGAAAAAAGTAATTTTGATATGAAATTCCAGGTAAAATAGACAGCAGTGCGATTAAAGCGCATAATGTTCCAATAAAAATTTCACTCATACAATTATTGGACCGCCTTTCGGAAGAAGGAACCACCATTACCGACTCATTTTAAAAACAACATTTATGATATTGGTTTCCCTATGCAAAAATATTTTTTGTGGAAAAGCCAGAGATAGTGGTTCCTTCTTGAAAAATGTAATCCAATTATTTTTCAATTAAAAAGTCACCACTATTTTTTTACGAACATTTCCGATAACCAATATCTGTAAGTACTCGAGAGAGAATCATGCAGATTTGACAAATTCCGGAAGTTTGATCTTCCGACATCAATGTTAGTGAAATTACCCCCCAACGTACGCCATTTTTGATTCTTAAGAGCTCCATGAAACTCAAGATGACGGAGGAGCCAATCAAAATCGGCCCCGCCCCAATGTGGCAATATTATCAAGTTACTCTAAATTCAGCCAATAACGAGCTAGGCTGGCCGAAGTCTTCATTGGCTGACTGATTCGGCCAGTAGTGACGACTTAAGCGGCCGATTGGCCAATGACGACTTTAGCCGGCCGATTGGGCCAATGACGACTTAGACCGGCCGATTGGGCCAATGACGACTTTAGCCGGCCGATTGGGCCAATGACGACTTAGACCGGCCGATTGGGCCAATGACGACTTAGACCGGCCGATTGGGCCAATGACGACTTAGACCGGCCGAAGTGGTGATTGGCGTAATCAGCCGACCAATGAAGTCAGTGGCCGGTCATTTTGGCAAATGCCGGCCGAAGTGTTTATTGGCGTAATCAGCCGACCAATGAAATGAAGTCAGTGGCCGGCCATTTTGGCAAATGCATGTGTAAGGTGTGTGTTTTTGCGTGTAGCATTCTTTTACCAGCCTATGGCCAATGGCCAAAATCGAAGCCAATCGCAAGGTTCCGTGAAGCGGGCCAACCGCGACACTGAAGAGATGCTGCTAGCAACATGCAATGAAAATCTCCTTAAAATTACTCCCTGGTCACATCTACATTGAGCAACATTCTTTTGATTCCAAGCCGCAGATGTAAACGAAATTTTATTCAATGCACAAAGGAGCTAGGAAAGTAAAAAAGGTAGATAAAAATAATTTTTAAAAGGAAAATTTACTCACATAAAAAATATCAACATGTATTTCAAAAATGAATAGGGCCACAAGGGCAAGAATATAAGAAAAACGATTTTGAACCTATCTATTAAAGGAGATTCTGAACCACCACAAGCAAGATAAGCGTTGTTGCAGTTTCACTGTCGATAGGCAAAGCAGCTTCGTTGAGGCGGCCAGAATTCTGAGGGTCTCGTGGTTCAGGGTTGCAATATTTCATGAAAAATTAAATCTTGAAATTTCAGAAACATTAGGAAAATATTGAAAAATGTTTCTAGAAATTAAATGCAAAATTATATGAAAGGCGAAGGGTGGCTAGGGGCTTTTTGGTGTTTTTTAGAGCGTGGTACATATCCAGCCCCGGAAAATATGTTTTATATTTTTCACAACTTTGCGAAATTTCATGAAATATATCCCGGAAATTTTCAATATTTCATATTTTTCATTTCACCCGTGCAACCCCGGAAGCATCCCATACTCCATCCCATAGCATGAAGAGATCCAGGACTCAACAACTATTTTTTTTTATTTTTCCTTTTTCCGGCGCCATGCAACATTTACTTATGCACATCTGTCACTCTCTCTGAGAGCGCATGGTCGGCTAGAACGGATAATGCCTGTTTGTGGAGTTAATGAGGCTACGAGCAGAGGTAAGTTTCCTCCTGAAATGTACAAGTGCTTCCCACTACCGAGGAAAACGCTGCCGTCTTAGAGGAAAACACCATATGAACATACACATGTTGCCAAATTTACTTCCAAAAATACTTATTTTTGAGAATAATTATGCATTTTTTCCATCGAAACTTTTAAACACTTTAAATAAAATCACGAACGAAATTCTCTGAATATTCGGAGGAAAATTATCGAAAAATTTCCCAGGAAATTCTATATTTTTCTAATGAGGTTTGGCAACGTCCAAAGGCTCATACAGCGTTTCTCCTCAGCACGATAGAGGGGCAGTTCAGCTCATGTCATGCGACTTAAAAAGTTTGAATGTTGCAGTGGCAAGGAGAAAACTTCAGTCCTGCTCATAATCTACGGTGAAACTCCCAATCCCCGCTTCTCATTTGCAGTGTTTTAAAATTTCCGCACTCATTTTAATTTCCTACAGAAACGGTTTCACCTACAAAATAATTCTCATTAAACAAGCAGAGTATTGAACATGGGAGCGAGGCTCCGCACTCGAACCTTGCCAAGAACACACTGATTTCCATTGGCTCCCAGCGTCCGATCGGTCACACGCAGCGCACCAATCCCGAGTCGCGCTTGCGCGGGAAGTTTAAATTCACTCTTTCCAGCTCTCGCCACTTTCAAACCAACGAAGGCGATGTTCCCGCCAATCCTTGCCGACCGGCGCCCGGCCAATCACGGACAAGCTTGCGACCGCTCTCACATCGGGCCGGTTTTAAGTTAACACGCCAGCCAGTTGTACTAATGTAATGATTGGAAATGAAAGATCGGAAAATTCCGTGAAATATTTCATGAAATTGTACGCGGCTATGAAATATTTCATATTTGGCGGGGACCAGAGTGTGCAACCTGCACTCAAACACAGGAAAATAGAAGGAAGTCGTAATTTTTACACTTTGTGGAACATGAAAGGAACCGGTATTTTTCAATATCTTCCATAAATTTCTGAACTTTCATGAAATATCTCACTTGAAATTTCAAGATTTTATTTTTCATGAAATTTTGCCACCCCGACCGATACGCGCCTCGGTATCATAATTCACAGGTTCTCTGCATGGATTGCATTTATGGCAAAAAGGAACCTGCGTGAATACAGTGTTTTCAAACTCGTGCATCTTCCTCTTTGCTTTTAAAATACTTAATATATGTACAGTATTCAAATTCACACAATTATTTTCCTCTAAAATTAACAATTTTCTGTTGAGAAAGAAAAACAAATTGCTACTCTGAGAGATTTTTTGGATCATTGTGAAGAAGCAACATTTTTTCAACACTGTAATCACGCTGCTTCCTTTTTGCCGAATTCGATCCACATCATAATGCATAACGACGGTGAAACTACCAGACCCCGTATCTCGTTTGCGGTGTTTAAAAATCTCCACTCACATTTTATTTTCTTGAAGGAGATCAAATCAATATCATTCCTTACAATTTTCACAGATTTTCCTCCGCACAAAGAGGAAAAATCGCGGAAGTTTTCACGAATTGACGTTGAGTAGTTTTCTATTTAAAAAATAAAGTATGGCAGGAAGTCTGCGACGTCGCAAACTAAGATACGTGGTTTGGTAGTTTCACCGTCGATAATCAGATAATTAGAATCAGCTATGAATGTGACAGCACCGTCCGATCTACATCTCTGACCTATTACCAGCCAACTAGGCTGATTCTAGATCAGGGACAGCTACCAAAAGTCAGTAAGTGATCAACATCGTTTACTGGTTCGATCACTTCGACTTCGACCGAAAATAGGAGCGAGATGAAGGTGTGTTTTCCGATTGAATAACTATTCGCACTCTCTAGTGGACGCCATGGATTCGATCGACAAATAATTGAAAAACCGGTGTCGATTCGACAGACATGAATAGATCGAAAAATAGAAGCCTGAGTCATGACAACGATTTGATCGACAATGAATAAATGGACAAACAAACCCGTGTTAAACCCATGAACCAATCGATAACTTAGCGAATCATTGGATAAGCTCAGTCAGTTGATCGGGAAGCCCGTGAATTGTTCGAATTTCCTCAATCTGTTCATGTTTATGTTTTCAATCAATTGATGACGATCTAATCGTTAGTATCCGGTTTGTAATCTTTTGTCGAATGGTTTACGTTGATCGAATCCATACCCACCCTTCCTCCCTAAGATGTCCGTCGTCAATCCAGTAAAGCAGCGGTTGCACAAGTGAAATAAAAAGTATGTAAGATTGGAAATTTCCGTGAAATATTTCATGAAATTTTGCGAGGCTATGCAATATTTCATATTTTTCAGGGGCTTGACTATGCAACCCGCACTCAAACTCACAAAAATAGGAGAAAGTCACAATCTACACATTTGCGATATTTGAAAAGGAACCGGTATTTTGAAATATCTTCCATGTATTTCTGAAACTTCATGAAATATTTCACGTGGAACTTCAAGATTTTATTCAACATGAAATTTGCCACCCTGCGAGAGTGTCGAGTCGTCTTCATAGTGTGATGCGCCTTCAATCCAGTTAGCGGCGATGTGCATAAACCGGTAGTCGAATAGTTATCGCAAATAACGCTCGCATTGCATTTGGTGCAATGCGATAAGTATTCATGCAGTCTTGTAGGCGCTAATATGCGTTTGACGCCGACCGCACTGTTTGGCGCAATGCGTGAAGTATTCCTGCAGTCTTGCAGGCGCCAATATGAGTTTGAAACCGACCGCACCGTGTTCGGCGCGATTACTCGAACTCACATTAGGATGGTCACGGCCACGGCATCGAACAATGGGGCTTAAAAGGCCCATATCGTGTTTCGACGCCACATGCGCAGTCCAACGTTGCCTCATTTTTCCCGATAAAATATTTTTTCCGAGAAAAGTTTGGAAAGTTTTCTAGTGTCCGCTTTTTTTGATTAAATGGACCATTAAACTTCGCATCTTCTTTTGCGCTCAAGCCAACTTTAAAGCGCTAAAGTCAATAAAAACCCGAAAATACCCCCAATTTGACCCTATCCCTCCCTCCCCTGGGTTCAGCACGACTCGGATTCATGGGGACTTTTTTGTGCAATTTTCGACCGAAACAGGCTTTCGAAACGATTTTTTCGAAGTGAACGATTACGAAATGATCGCTCGATCGTTTCGCACGAACCAACGAGCGAAATATCGGTTCGGGGACAGTCCTACCTGCGACGGGATGTTACCTACCTACCTCACCGTTGATATTTAACCCCCCCCCCCCCCCNGCCAAAAGCCAAAATTTCAAAAATTGGAAATATCAGTCGGTGGACCTAAATTCACAACCAACGTATTTACAAGGGGAGTCTACAAAGTGACATCCTGGGATTGGGTTCAGTTTGCTTGTACATATCATAAAGAAGAGACAAATCTAAGGTTGACGCATTTTTTTTTAGCCGCCAACTCTCAACCGTTCGTGAGATATCGATTTTTAAAGTTACGATTTTTGCACGTTTCCGCGTGGAGTTCCGGCGAGTTAATTGAGCGCCGGCAAGCTGCACGAAGCGCGTTTCTCATGAGCGCTGCAGACCGAATAGCCTTATCATCTGATCCGTGGCCATGTGCCGTGTGGTAAAGTGTTCGTCTACCATCCCAGCAATCGCGGGTTCGGGTCCCGCTTCGTGCTGTAGCTTTTAGGGTACACCGCAATGCGTTTTTACAAGTTTTTTTTATTTTTATCACACACCAAGGGGTCCACCCCCTGGCCGCTACGCGGCCCAACCCCCGGGGCGAAAAGGCGCGCTTCGCGGCAAGTGAAATCATCGAAATCAACCGTTGACGGTTGCAAATTCAGAGTAAGGAAAAAGTCATTAAGAATATTGTGTGGTGGGAAATTTGTATTTGAAACATCATTTTATCATTCAATTAAAATTATTTACCTAGTAACCGTCAACGGTTGATTTCGATGATTTCGCTTGCCGCGAAGCGGGTCTTTTCGCTCCGGGGGTGGGGCCGCGTAGCGGCCAGGGGGCGGGGACCCCTTGGTGTGTGATAAAAATAAAGAAATCTTGTAAAAACGCATTGCGGCGTACCCTAAAAGCTACAGCACGAAGCTGGTCACGAACCCGCGATCGCTGGGAAGGTAGACGAACACTTTACCACTCGGCCACGGATCAGATTTTAAGGAAATTCGGTCTGCAGCGCTCATGAGAAACGCGCTTCGTGCAGCTTGCCGGCGCTCAGTTGACTCGCCGGAACTCCGCGCGGAAACGTGCAAAAATCGTAACTTTAAAAATCGATATCTCGAGAACGGTTGGGAGTTGGCGGCTAAAAAAAAATACGTCAACCTTAGATTTGTCTCTTCTTCATGTACAAGCAAAATGAACCCAATCCCAGGATGTCACTTCGTAGACTCCCCTTGTTAGTTATTTTCAACTTATATCCACATTCGGTAATGCATTAGATATTTATTCCAAGAGATCCTCTACTTTTTGGTAAACAATTTTCTAAATAATAGTTACCACTGCCAAGCATAACCAAAGTGTCCTACATTCCTAATAACTAATTAGGCAAAATACCTCAATTCATTCGATTGTTCGATATCCGACCATTAGGAGTAGGAGCACGAGACCTCTTTATGACAGACTCTTTCATCGTATGTCCCTATGACTCCCTTCCCTAAAGCAAGAGGGGGCAGAACTGAGCTGCTTAGTATGCCGATAGCGGAGACTTGAGAAAGTTTAGTAATTGCAAAAGGTCACAAGCAGTTATTAACATATATTATGTTGTATAATTGTTGAGATTACGTAAGGGACGATGGGAGGGGGCGGGAATTGATGAACTGTTGGCTCAGAATGTGGTGGCCCTGAAAAGGGCCGTTTTAAAAGAATAGATGCTGATGCTGGCAAGATAACTGTTGAGCATTACTTGCCGCTGTTATACTTGGTCACTGCTTTCGTACCTTCAGACACTGCATGTTTCGCCAGCTCGCCAGGTAGGATAAGTCGGACGGCGGTTTGAATGCATCGGGATGACAAGGTTCTTGATGATATTTTAGTCAGTTTACCGGCTTCGATGGCAATACGTTCGAACATGTCCATGACGAAATTGTGCATTATTTCCATGGAAGCTTTCGATATGCGTACATCAGAGTGAACTTGTTTTAGCACCGCCAGAATAGAGCGTTTGAGCGTGTAAACTGGCTTCTTCCTTCGTTTCCCATCCTTATTCAATTTTGGCGTTTTAGTCGCAACCTTAGTTGGTTTCTCCTCCTTCGTCGGCTGATTCTTCTTTGCTTTCTTGGAACGGGCCATTGGAATTGAAGAGGTTGCTCGCAGAGAAGATGCGTTCAGCTGTGTGTGAATCTGAAAGAGCGCACGGCTGAGGCTTATGACTGAGACTGAGTTACAGAGGTCAAAGTCCACTATTTATATGATTCGCAATCACCATGCGACCAATGGGCTGCGAATATCCCCGGATCTCCGTCCCGCGCGCGGCACGAGATACCAGGGACAAAGGACGCTACTGATCCTTGCCATCCTATTGGTCCGCGCTCTCGACGCGGTGCTGCTAGCTGCTATGCCACTAAAGCTTGTCGCGACGTAACACCTTCAACCTTCAATCCTTCACAACTATTAAGGTTCTTTTCTTTTTTTCTCGGGCCTTATTTGAATTTCATCCACTGGATGCTTTGACTTCCATGTTAATTTTCATAACTATAAGAACATTTGTTGCCTGTGTAAGTAGAACTTATCAACAACTTATCTCTGATTCAAAGCTAGGCTCCAACATACCGTGAAATGAACGACATTCGCAACGAATCAGCACGCGTTAGCAACAAGTCTCGGGCGGGAAATGCCGCTATTGGCTTGTTTAAAATTATCTGAAGCGAGGGGAATCCTATTTATACACCCTTGAATTTTGGTCGCCCTAGTTGACGTGCCTGCTGAATTGTCATAATTGCAGTGAATTATAACGAGTTACATTCTCAGCATCCAAGTAGCACCACTTCTCTGTACTCCCAAGAGTGCTTTGTTATTCCTCTTCCATCATGGGCACACCTAATAAATCTTCCACCTCAACGTCGAAATCTGGAGACCAAGGAGTTCCGCCTATGGGGAGGCAGTCCATCGTCAATGTTTTAACCAAGGAATTTGACCCGCCTATCTTGGAAGATCTTCCTGATTCCGAAAATCCGTCAGTTCCAGCGTTCATCTCCATTCTAAACGGTCTTGTGGAACATATGCCTGCTGCCGTCGAAATTTCTCGGATTCATGCCTGGGATCACGTTGTCAAGAAAGCGCAAGATTCATACCCAATTCAACACCCTATACAACAGCAATTCCGCTTATTCACAATCGCTATGCGGGACATAGTCTTGCCACAGCTCATACCTCGAGTATGTGAGCAGGTACAACTTCTTGCGGAATGGGACGCGCAGTTTGGCCGACACAAAAAACCCGCCGTAATCCGAAGTGTTGCGTACACTTTATTGACTGACGAACTGAAGGACACGTTCTCTATTTCTTCCAATCGGACACTCACTTTCCTACTATTCCAAAACTGTGTTGATCACTGCGCTACCATTATTAGCGAAAATATCTCCACTGAAGATCCACTCAGCATTAAATGAAACCAACAGAAGTGAATCAACGTAGCCAGCAACTAAAACGGCCCTTTTCAGGGCCACCAAACGATATGAGGGCAGTAGAGAAACTACAAATTATATTTTCCTTTAATACATATCGACGGTGAAACTACCAAACCACGTATCTCGGTTTGCGACGTCGCAGACTTCCTGTCATACTTTATTTTTTAAATGAAAAACTACTTAACATCCAGTCTTGAAAATTTCTGTGATTTTTCCTCTTTGTGCGGAGAAAATTCCGTGAAAATTTCAAGGAATGATATTGATTTGGTCTACTTCAAAAAAATAAAATGTGAGCGTAGATTTTTAAACACCGCAAACGAGATACGTGGTTTGGTAGTTTCACCGTCGATATTTTTTTTAATGAATTAAAATGAAAAATGAGAATAATCCATACAGAGCGTTGCGAACATTTCAAAATCATGAGTTGAAAAACGCTGACTCCGCCAGATTAAATACTAATACAAACCGGAGCGGCGACGCACTGGCGCCTACAAACCTAGCAGGGATACTTCACGCATTGCGCAACGCGTGAAGTATCCCTGTTAGGTTCGTAGGCGCCAATGCGCGTTTCGCGCTGGCCGCCCGCCCGCCGAGCCGCAGCGTGCCACGGCGCTTGTAGCAACTATTTCACACCAGAAGTATTGCACAGTATCATACGAAATTGAAGGCGCGCTAACATATTAGGAATGGCAGGCACCCATCAAAGGTACGGAGCTTTCCTCGCAAAATAAATCAAGATACTACGGCCAAAAAAGAGAGTGGTAGTCCAAAAACTCTAGTAAGTCCTAGCATCCGTAATTAGTAACATTTAGTATACACTTTATCGCTTGGCTGTCGCTTAATCGCCATCGGCTATGAAAGGCTATAAGAAACTAGGGGGCTACGCCCCCTGGCCGCTACGCGGCCCAACCCCCTGAAGGCGCTCCGCGCCATCAATGGGCCGCTTCGCGGCCCTATTTTTACCCTCCTATCAGTGTTAGTTTTATTTTTCCCCTAAAAAATTACGATATGAGGTATACTTTAATTTTAAACTTTACTTAAAATTACTTTAAAATTAAAAGGACGCGTTTTGGAATGACTGATTGATGAAATATTGCAGTAAAACAATGAACAATGATAGTCAGGTAATAATTAAGATTTCATGAGTCGGGGATCGATCCCACATTGAGTTCGTTATGGACGCACTCGACGTCTTAGACGAATCGGCCACCGCTCTACATGAGGGCCAAGGCGCGAATCTTGTGGAGATAAGTGTAGAGCTGATGCGCAGGCTACCCATCTACTGCGCAACCTCATTGACCACTGCGCATCCTCCCGCGCATAGCGGTAGCAGCACCGGAGCATTCTGTAAACTCACTCACTTTTATAACGTGATTTTAAAAAAACCTGGGTCCTTTTTCCAAAATCTGATTAGAGCGGGCTCATCTAGGGCCTATTACCTGCCGATTTACGCAAAAATCATGGAAATCGGCCCGGTAGAACGCTCAAACGAACTATGACAAAAAGTATAAAATTACATTGTTTAAATGGGAGAATTCGCAACTTTACCACGTAATATAAAAAAACCTGGGCCATATTTTGAAAATCTGAAAAGAGTTGGCTTATCTAGAGACAATTGCCCGTCGATAGTCGCAAAAATCATGAAAATCGGCCCAGTAGAACGCTGGAACTAAGCGTCACCAGTTTCGCAAAATTAGGAGGTCTTTGGAGCTTATAGTATAGATAGTATAGATTGTGTAGCCGGCTATAGAAGCTATTGTAAATCTTACAGCCGGCTGTAGGTCTACGGTATTTTGGAACACAGATTCTACTGCCAATTTTTACCAGGGTACGCTTTTTTACTATTACACAAAATTTTTTTAAATTGTAACATTCAACAAAGCTGGAAATTTTTTGAAATTTCAACTCCATTTGGGCGCATTTTGAAGCTTTTCTGACGAAAATTTTAAGAATAAACACGGTGGTGGGTGTTTACATTTAAGACTCTACATTAAAGGAGATAAGTATCTTCGATGGTCTCAAACTTCTTCTTTTCTCGCACTTTCTCATCTTCTGTCTCCTTTTTTCTTCTCTCTTTTCCTCCTTTTTTTTTGCTTTCGGGGGGATAGGACTTGAGCCCCCCAAGCCCCCCCTCCCTCGCTAGGTGCCTGCTGAACACGAGGTGTTTAAATGGGAAATGCTGCCAGATGACGTCACTAGGCGGTGCATTTTCTCACTTCCTATCTATCTATTTTCATACTATTTCCCTTATCAGAAAAAAAGTGTAAAAAGTACTGTGAAATCAGCTCCTTAAGCACTTTCAGATGAAGCAATACAATAAATTGCATGCAAATTCTCCATTGACAAAGAGTGTCCTTCAGTGGCGTGGCGTGAATTGCGATATATAGATTGTTATGCCGTTTAAACGTATGGAAAAGGATCGATAAACAGGGTGTTCGCAGCGAACACCTTAATAATCGATTCTTTACCATAGATTTAAATGGTGTAACAATCGATATATCGAAATTCACGCCACGTCAATGGTGTCCTTCCATTATCTTGGCAATGGTGGAAGCTTCACAACTAGATGGGTGCGGGATTTGAGCTTAAGCGTCTTGAGATGAGTCTTAAGATGTTTAAGTCTAAAAATCTTAAGGAAATGGTTAAAACTTTCATCTGAAGTAAATATCTTTTGAAAGGAAGTTTGGCGACATTCGAATGCTTATAGGGCATTTTTCCTCAGCAGAGAATTTTAAACATCTCATTGTCATTGTCATTGAAGTAGAAACAGTTTTAAATGAGAATCTGCGCGTTACCGCGATAGTTCGTTGGAATTTAGAATGAGACGTTGGCAAAAAAACGCCTTCAATGCATTGAATAGGCACACCGAGCTCTTAGGAGGTCGAATAGTGGTATCACGCCAAACAGCACATTTTTAACGGTACGTATAATAGACCGTGTGGTTTTCGGGTGATACCACTATTCGACCTCCTAAGAGCTCGGTGTGCCTATTCAATTCATTGAAGGCGTTTTTTTGCCGGCGAATTTAGGAGGTCGAATAGTGGTATCACGCTAAACAGCACATTTTTAACGGTACGTATAATAGACCGTGTAGTTTTCGGGTGATATTTTCGGCAGTTAAAAATTACTTAACTTTGATTGATTGATTGATTTAAAGATAATAATAAACAACCCGACAACCTGAGAGAACTTAATTCAAATTAAAAATCTCAAATTTTTCAACCATCGATTTTCATTGTGGGTCGCGGTGGATATTGTTAAGATATGAGACATTTTTTGGAAAATCTGTGTTTTTTTTTTTCAAAGAAGGAAAAAAAATAAAATGAATATACCGGTAATTTTTTAACAATCTGCATGCATACTCGAGATTCAACTCCACCAATAATCCTCGAAAAACATCTCAAACCTATTCCTTCTTCTGGTTGCGAACTCCCCAGTCGATAAGCTAACGTCCCCCTAGCACCAGTATTCTTTCCCTTACGGACCCAACTACAGCTACAGGTACATTTGTTTCTGCCTGTTCCTCGCTCGTTCTGGCTGGAAGCGAGAAAAAGGCTTGACATTCTAATTAATTTCTTAATCCCGCCTACTTTTGCCGCACGTATTGAAACCGCGCTCCGATGTTGCCAGATGAGGCTAGAAATGCACACGAACCCCTATGTGCTTCTCCGCGAGTAAAACCGTCTACATTTCGAATTGCACATCGTTGCGAGACGCAGCTTCAGTTAAAATCGATAGAGGAGCTCCATTTATCACTCACCGATTTCACGCGCTAAGCCCTTTTGAAAAATTTTACGCGCGCACCAAGGAAGAGCAATGACACGCGTTGCCACAAAGCAGCTCAACCAGGGAAAATAATACAAAATGGTATGAAATTTTAGTCCATGCGTTGTGATGAAATGATTTTGTCTTATTCTTTTTCGGCACCACACAATCTAAGCAGGGAATAAATCCTCACGTCAATTGGGGCACAAGTTTTTCCAAGTGACAATGAAGTATAATAAAACTATAGATTTAAAATAATGAGCCGTTATTGACTAGAATATGTTCGTAACTTCTAATCTTCGCTTTACTTTTATGAAATACGAGGGGGCTATGTCCCCTGGCCGCTACGCGGCCCAACCGCGAGAGTGCGCGCTTCGCGCTCTCTTAGGCCCGCGTCGATAAAAGAACGACAAAAAAAAATGAAAAAATTGTCATAACCGACTCTCAATTGTCCAATCTCCTTCTGGCCAGGGGCGATTGGACCAATAAAAATCAAATGAAAAAATCGGCATTTATTTCAAATTTCTCGCCAAGACTGAAACAAAACGGGAAGGAGTGTTTCGTCGCTTTTGGATTTTCTGTAGCAAAGGAGCATACCTTTGATTCACTTACCCAACTAACGGACCAAGAGTCCAAGACTCAATATTTCCCGCTTACTTACTTCAATTTTCCGCTAAATTTGAAATTCCCGCCATCTTTCATTGGCAGGAATTTCAAATTTTGCCCCCCTTTCTAAGCTTCCCGATCTCTTCTAATATAAAAAATGCAATAGTGTATTTCCTTCGGAAAATACACTAAAAACCTGGGTCCTATTTTCAAATTCTAATTACAGCAGGCTCATTTAGGGACTGTCACCTGTCGATAACCGCAAAAATCATGGAAATCCGTCAAGTAGAACGCTCAAACGAACTATGACAAAAAAATAAAAAAATTACATTGTTTAAATGGGAGTAATTGCAACTTTACCACGTAATATAAAAAAA